GAAGAGGCAAGTCCTCAGGTGAGTAAAGAGGGGGTGAGGCAGAGAGATTGAGGTCAGAGGTGAATGACTATTTTATAGAAATTCCCGATGACTAAAGTGTTTGAGGCTTCCGTCTTTGCATTTTCCTTCCTTGTTCAACATATCAGTTTATTTTGGCTGTTGAAGCTAACTTTCCCAATGCAGCTTGCCCAGTCGTGTTGAGGAGATTCTTTGTCTAGTGCCTGCATCACATATATAAAAAAAATCACTATTTTCATTGACTATTGATATTGCCAGGATTTAGCTCTGTTTTCTCCACGTGGCAGCAAACTTCCTGTATTAACCACGGAGTGTGGAGGCCAGACACTGTTGCTGTGTGAACACACTTACGGAAGGCAGGGTCAGTCATATAAACACACATTACATAAGTGAAAAAGCTGTAAAACTTTTTTTTAAAAATGGAAGAGTATTGCAAGTAGATTGAAATGCCTTTTTGAATGTACGAGATTAAAAAAAATAGAAATTCTTCAATTAACAAAAAGCTGCAGGCCATTAATAGATGTTATAATCTCACTTTGAACTGAATTAAACTCTAGATTTCCTCCAATTTAGAAATGTCTTTTCAGAAGTGGGTCAAAAGCAGGAAATACCACGAAACCTTGGGCAAGTTTCCTTACTCCACACAGAGCCTAATAATAATCCCTCCAAAAAAAAATAATAAATTGGTCATTTTCAATCCACGACTGTGAGTGGGACATTGCTGTGTGCAATTGGCTGCCGCGTTCGCCCACAAATATACAGTCAATTCACTTTACAGTGTGTTCTGTGAAGCGCTTTGAGACATCGACGCTATGTCAGATGTAAGGATTATTAGAATTATTGTTATTAACCCGAGGCGGGGGGGAGCAATAAAACACCTGGAAATCTCTCTTTAAACCACACAAAGCAATGATTAAAGTATATCAACAGCCTCACCAGCAATTTTTTCCAATTATTAAGTAACCTTTATAATTCTGAACCCTAAGATAACGATACGTTTTATATAGCGTTTAAAGGTGGGAAATAAAATTAAGACGATATGACAAAAAAGGAAGGTTTTACTGTTAATCCGTGAAGACAATAATAATGACCAACTGGTGATTATCCTTGTGTGGGGCGGGGGGGGGGGGGGTGGGAGGTGAAGTGGGGTCTCGTTGGAGCTGAACTGGCTCCGGGGCGACATGTTGGGCAACGGGATGTCAGAATCAAGCCAACTGTGTGGGGATTTGACTGACCAACGGGAAGGACAGGTGAACTGAAATGACTATTTGACTTATTTCCTGAGTCAGACGAGTTTACAGCACCTCATGGCCCTGCAGATTACAGCCTAGCCTGACTCATAATAATAATAATAATAATGATCCTTGCATTTGATATAGCGCTCGTCACGTCTTCCAGACATCGCAAAGTGCTTCACGGAATCCGCTGTAAAGTGAATTGATTGTATGTTTGTGGGTGAAATGCGGTGGCCAATTGGTGATAAACAAGAAGGTAGGTGAAATAAGTTGCCAAGGCACTGACTGCACCACTAGTCCTTATGTTACAACTTGATACAGGTGAGGTCCTACCTTTAACCAGGAAAATACCAGCAACGCAATTAGTGGCATCATTGCACCTGTCCTCGTGAGTCTGCTGTTGGCTATCACTACACTCTGCAGACGCAGAACTGGTTAGAGCGAGTGTGTCCTAGACCCATTTTTAATTAATGTTGTGTTTGGACTTCAATAATATTAACAACCATTACCTCAGTTTAAAAAATAATATTTTGTGTTCTCTCTTTTGCTGCCAATGATCAGGTCTGACATAAGCATTAACGAGTTAAAAGAAACCTTCCCTTCTGTGCCTGTTGTGGCAGCTTGGGATTCATGGGCAAACAATGCAGAATTTAGGAAAAGTCTGAGAGGGAAATTGGCTGTAAACATGTCTGTATCCACATCCTCCTGTGCTGACCTGTTAAATGAATGTATTCTCTTAGTCTGTCCTTCTCTTGTGCAATTATACTACAGACAACATCAGGGAAAACTGGAGCAGCTGTCCTGTTGTGTGACTTAGTCATTTACATTGCAAGTAGACTCACAGTAAACATAGATCGCAGACACTTTCATTTGCCAGCGACTCAGATTAAAAACAAATGACTTTGTTTTATTTTTATAAAAGCCACGAGTGAACAAGTGGCTATAGCTGTTGAAAGAGCATCCAGAAATGTGGCAGCAGAATTTGTGTTTGAACAATTTGTCACCGGAGGTACGCGACCACAACTGGAACAGCACGACTGAATGGGATTTTCATTTGTTTAATGTTATATTCTTCCTCCTCTTTAGCCTGTCACTCTCCCTCCCTTTCCACCCCCCAAAAAACACACAGATTTGTGAACAAGAGAACAGGCGGGTGAACGGTTCCCAGATTCTACTGATCCTACACTCGAAGAGCTGTACATCCACAGTGGCCTGTAGCTAATCTTCCCATTTTCCCTGGAAACAAGCAATTTTGGGGGTCCATCATTAGCTGATTTCTAAAAATATCAATCTTTTCATTACTTGCACTAATAACAACATTTGATATAGCACCTCGTCACATCGAGAAGTTTCAAAGCACTTCACAGGGTACACTGTAAAGTGTATTGACTGTGTATTTTGTGGGTGAATGTGGCAACCGATTGCACACAGCAGTGAGTGTCACACAAACAGCCTTGGAGTGAATGATCCATTTTTTATTTGGGGGAAAATGATGGCCAGGACACCGGGAGAAACTCCCTCCTCTTTTCGAATAGTGCCGTGGGATCTTTAATGTCCACCTGAACAGACAGATGGGACCTCGGTTTAACATCTCACCGGTGTGGCACCTCTGATAATGCAACCCTCCTCCCAGCAAAACCTGAATTGTTTTTGTGGGAATTCTGTTAGAAGACCTTCACATAAGAAGGGGTAGTCATATATGAGGCATCCTACCCATAACCAGTTGCACAGCTGCAACTTTAATTCAATAAATACCCTTGACTGAATGCAAAAGAACAGCTGGTTGTGGTACAGCCAGTTTATTGTATCCCCTAATGTGTTCCCTGCAGCCCTATCCGTTTAATCAGTCGTGAGCAAGAACATTTGTTTCCAGATATCATCATCATCCCAAATCTGAAATCCTTTTACAAGCAGAGGATAGGTTTACCGATCGTATCATGTCCAAAAACTTTGCTACGAGACTTTTGTTTGAGGTTCCGCAATGAATTGTCCATCCTCAGCCCCCCAAAAAATGACACAGAAAAATAAAACATTGCATTTCCTTTCTACTAGTATCTGTGCTAGGGGTGCTGTACTGTAACATGAATTATGCTCGTGAAAGGCTTCGGATTTGAGATTCAAACACGGTGTGAAGATTTTTGGGGAAGGGGCTGAAAGACTGGTCTGCTAACAACTGTGGTTACTTACCGAACATTTAGGGATAACGTATGGAGGCAATCATACAATGCGATGCAAACATTTCACGGTTTGTTTCTGAAGGACATTTCTTGCTTATTTCAGCTCAAGTTGTTGCAAAGAAAATAGGAAGTTAATTCACTCCGTGGAAGAAAGATACAATAAAGCACAATTTCCTCTTTCACTCCCCAACCTCCTTCCCACTCTACGCTAATTCCTAATGTGTTAAGCCATGTACTTGTTTTGGCTCAATAGTGAGGGGAACAACAATAATTGATGGACATCGCCCGCTTTCCTTGGGGAGGGAGGGGGCTCAGGTATGAACTTGGTAGAAAATCTCTTCACTTCATTATTACATATAGGATTCATTCTACTTTCTGGTGCCCAAAACTGAACACAGTAATCCAGTTGTGGCCTAACCAATGATTTGTTGATGTACTTCTGTACTCTATGCCCCTATGTAATAAGAAGTCTTTTTTTTAAGGATATCCTGCAAAACGATTTGAGATCTCCCAAACAGAATAGCGGTATATCAAATACAAGGATTATTAATAATAACATCTCACTCTCTGATTTAGTGTTTCCCCTTCCTTCTCAGGAATCATGATGTTTCTTCCCCCCCTCCCACCTCAATAACGTAGCACAAAACCTCATCTCATAACTCAAATCACTCACATTCTGAAACGCAGCTTGCAAGTTAAAAGCGAGGGAGTGAAATGCACAAATCCTCTTTATATAATTGATGATCAAGAGTCCATTTCCCACAGATAAATGTTCTCTTGAAGTCTCTTCTCCCATCTTTCCCAAGTTCCAAAATATATATATATACATACATAGGAGCATAAATAGTATTTGTAAATGCTGCTCGGAACATAAGGTGCATTAACTCCAGGGAATCCCAAGCATATCATGCCAACTGGGAATGACGTGAACAAGAACTTGGCTCCCATGAGATTTTGTCTCGGAATTCGAATGCTCTGCCCCAGAAGCCGTTAGAGGCAGAATCAATTAGAAGGGAGATAAAAGCCTGCCTCTACGATCTCTCCAAGAGAGAAGTAAGATAATTATTTGGAGAGGACAAGTTTGCAGGGCTATGGGGAGAGAGTGGGGGAATGGGATTGAATTGGATAGCTCTTTTCAAAGAGCCTTCACAGACATGATGGGCCGAATGGCCTCCTTCTGTGCTGTATAGTTCTATGATTCTATCTACAGTATTACTGTTATTAATACTGTTATTTCGTCTGTCTCTACAACGTTGGTGGTGTACTGCACTGCGTGCTTTTGCCTTTCCCCTGGATTTCCGTGCCCCCCCCACCCCTTTATTTGTTTTTTTTTAATATGAATTGCACTGCTGAGGAATTGCTCTCTTCACCTGTCCGGCTGTTTAACTGTAATTCTGGGCTGCAGAAGGAGACCAATGGGGTCCGTATGAGGTTGTAATCAGCAACGCGCTTGTCTTGCCAGACATCCAGAGAGTGGTTTTGTGCACATTTGAAAGTAACTTGTGAAGATACTGACGGTCATCGGTGCAAGGGGGGAGCAACTTCGCATCAAACGCCAATCGCTCCGTAGATTCTCCAAAGCAAGTGTTGCGGAGATGGAAGAAATTGGATTTGCTCAGAGCCTGGAAGAAAGATTTAAAGGAGAGTTGAGGATCGAGGTTCTGCATCTGCAGGTGGATGTGGTCCAGTGCTGAGATGAGAAGTCCAAAGCTTGCGAGTGACCCACATCCTACCATTCAGTCCCACAACCCATCATGTTTTGACACCAATACACTGCTCTCCTGCTACTGTGGCCAACAATCCTCCGGATAAGTTGGGCCGTTATTTCGTCTCTCATTTGTGGAAACCTGCTGTCAAAAATGCACGCTGTTTGTGGCAATAAAAAAGGCATTACACTTGATAGCAATTACCCTCCAACAATGCAACACTTTAACTGCTATGAGCTGCAAGTCTCAACGAGAGAATAAAGTTTAAACTTCCTCAATAATCAAGCATCGTTTCCTAAACTCTGCACCCCAATCATATTTCAGTGTAATGTTTTGATTCCAACATATTTGGTGTGCAAGTGTATCTTATTGGGAGAAATATTACGCCTCGAGCTTGTGGATACAGGACTAATCCCGTAATAAAAAGAAATTTGTATTACATCTGGGAATTATTTATTGGAAAAAAAATCATACGAAACTAATTCAGGTGTTATAATAGGTTAGTAGACTGACCTCATTGGCTGCTACATTTCATCCATAAAACACTGCCAATCCACTTTACAATATAATCTGTGAAGCGCTTTGAGACGTCTCAATGACACGAGAAGGTGCTATATCAAATACAAGGATTATTATTATTTTTTCACATCTGGGACTTGGATCCAAATTCAGAACAAAATGACAGGACGAAAGCTTCCCCTCCCTGCCGTCTACCAGCACATAGGAAAGGAGTCGACAATTAATTGTTAGTATTTTGCCAATTACATGTTTTCCTTTAAGTCGTTTGTATCCCATTTATTTATGTATATTACTCTCTGTATGATTTTCTTTTTTTTAAATATAAACTTTGTCCTCTTTTCTCATCTTTCCATCTCCCACCTCCGTTCCTGTCAATGTCTTCGCTACCTATTAATCACATCCTGTCTTTGTGCTCCTCCACATTAATGTCCCTGCTCCAAAAATCACAGGACCTGGTTAGTTGACCAGTGCAACTATGTGCGAGTTGCTTTGATCATTGTGACCTTCCAACAGCTGCTGCTACTGTAATAATATCCACGTAGTAACATGGATATTTCTATTAACTATGTTAGAAATTGCTCAGAAAAGCCAAAGTCAATATTTCAGTTTACACTAACTGCCCCGAGCTAAGGTTTCGCAAACCAAATATTTTGTTTACTGAATATGTCAGGTATTTGAAACATTTACAGGCACTGGGATTAAAAGATGGACGCAGCTTAGCAATTTATTTATATTGTTAGATAAAAACGGAATGAAGATTTTTGACAGGTTCATTTTTTTGGACCATTAATATTGATGTGTTAGGTGATCCTACATGGACCATGATTCAGCGGTCACTCACTCCATGGCTGTTTGTGGGACGCTGCTGTGTGCATTGTCTGCCAGGTTTCACCACCCACAAAATAAACAGTCAATCAACAACAAGATTACATTTGTATAGCGCCTTTCACGTCGGGAGGATGTCCCAAGGTGCTGGACAGAGTACAGCATTTTAGACCCGAGCTGGGGTTGGGGGGGAAGGGAAGGGAGGTGAAGGGGGTGGTGGCCGATGGCGTGGTTGAAGAGGAGGGTCTTGAGGCGGAACTTGAAGAAGGCTAAGGAGGGGGCGAGGCGGAGTGACTGGGGGATGGAGTTCTAGAGGTTGGGGGTAGAGTGGCTGAAGGCTCTCCCGCCAATGGTGGGGCGGGTGGGGCGGGGGACGTGGAGCAGCCAGAGACGGCTGAGCGGAGGGAGCGGGCGGGTTGGCAGGGGGTTAGGAGGTCGCAGAGGTAGGGTGGGGCAAGGCCGTGGAGGGCTTTGTAGGTGAGGACCAGGATCTTGAACTGGATCCTCTGAAGGATAGGGAGCCAATGGAGTTGGGCGAGAGTGGGGGAGATGGGGTCACAGATGGGGTCATGAATCTAAGCATGACATTTAGCGTAAATCCTGTTAAGAGCTTTGAGAGGTTCTTCCCACGTAAAAACCGCTATATCAAATGCACGGGTTATTATTATTATTGCCAATATTTGAATGAGACAAACAAATGGTTTGGATAAATTCTTGCTCTGTGAGGAATGACCTTATGCAGCACCACTGATCATATTTGCTCCTGAAATCGTTTGAAGTTGCAGCTTTATAACATCAAATAAGACATGAAAATGTGAAAGCCACATCATAACGTTAGCACTGGCACAGACTCCTCCGCAAGTGACCAACGTTGGATGGAGTTTTTGGATGAAGCTGTTTCACATTGGCTCGCTCAATAGCGATTCTCAATTCCATTTCACTAAATGGCCTCAGTTTGGGTCCAAGTAAACAGTAACACACTGTCAATTCCCAAAAAATGATTTCACATTTGGAAGCTACACTTTTTTTTATTAAAAAAAATAAAAACTCGTTTGGCATTGCCACATTTTCCTTAACCTTTTAAAATCTGCAATAAAACCATCTTGCATTCACCTCTTGGATACAACACTGAACATTACGACTGGGTTTTAGAATGCGATGGGCAGCTTTTCATGCTGTGCAGAAATGACATTTATTTTTTAAAAAATTCAAAAATCATCCATTTTCAGTTTCGCCTTTCATGTATAATACTCTTCATGCATTTACACACGCAGTAGTACATTTTAAAGTAGGTTTCTTTAGGAATCACCCTGTTAATGGAACATCCCTGTGTTATTCTTTGACATTTATGTGATTACTTAACAAGACACATTTATGAATTTTTGAATATTATTTATGATAACATAAATAAATATAAATGTAACATCTTTCTGAAAAAAGAGTATTACAAAGAAAGATAAATCCCAAATGTTGTTCCTGAACACAGTTAAATTCAAGGCTACACAAACTAGTAATTTGGATGAGAATGACCTACTTCTTGCCAGAACTCCTTCCCAAACCCTTATTCATTTGGAGCAATGTAGCCAGAATGTCAGTCCTCTATACGATCATGACCAGGCAGATGTTTAAAGGGAAAGTGTATTCCTTCTGAACATTCAAATAGTCTTAATTGTTTTACAGATATTTTTATACTTACTATGTCTCTCAGCTATCCACGTTCCAAGTAGGGATGAGGGATCCGATTTTCCATCATCTCAAACCAGCTGATTGCTTGGTGGACCTTCTGCCTGGGGTACTACCAAGCCACCACCTTCTCCTCAACATCCAATTGACTGCAGAATAACCATAATATACCTGTTTTATAGGTATCCAATGGACGCTCTTAATCTATCTTTGTCTGAAGCCAATACTCTTGTATAATTGAAGTGCTAACCACATATTCCACTCAAGCAAATCTTGAACCATGTTGCTCGTGTTGCGGGCAAATTCAGGTGAGCAATTTGACTTTATCCTTTTCGATGTCCATTAATAAGCTTTAGTTAGACACAGCTGTCCTTCCTTCCCCACATTGGGTTCCTGACCAGGACCGCCTTCCTCCACCTCATTTACCTTACCCAACACACAGCAGAAACATTCATCCATATGTTTATCACCTCATCAACTTTTCAAATGCCCTCTTTGCCGGTCACCCCAGCTCCACCATACACGGCATCCAGCTGATTCAAAACTCCGTCGCCCGCGAACTCACCCACACTAAACTCCAGTTCTAGCCGGACTCCACTGGCTCCCTAATGCCAAACGGATCGATTTCAAGATCCTCACACTCGTTTTCAAATTCCTTCATGCCCTGGCACCTCCCTCCCTCTCTGATCTATTCAGCCCCCAACCCACAACCTGTTGCCTCCGCTCGACTGGCTCTGGCTTCCTGCTTGTCCCTTGATCCCTCCGTTCCACCATTGGTGGCTGAACTTTGAGCCACTGTACCCCAAAACTCTGGAACACTCTCCTCTTTCCCTCCACCTTGCCCCTTCCTTCCCCATCTTCAGGTCATGCCTGAAGACCTTCCTATTCGACCATACCTAAGGTCACTCCCCTCTCCCCCCGGTTCGGTATCAGGCTCTGCCACTGTCAAGTGCTCCTGGACGCTACCCTGTGTGAGCGGCGATATATAAAGACAAGTTGTTGTAGTTAAATAAGCACTTGGTCCTTTTAATGAGAATCATCTTATGAGTTTACTTTTAAGAAGATTTTTTTTATCAAACATGGTGATAAAAACAGTCTTCTCAATCCCCCCAAAATCTCTCTTAATGCATTGACAATTGGGTTTAAAATGCAACCGTCACAACCTAGATTCTCAAAGGAATCTTAGATATCAAATTCTGCCAGCAACCAGATTTTTGATTGAATTCCTGTGAGTCAGGATGATGTACACCCACTAGGTTTCAATATTTACAAATCACTTACGAATACTGTTGCAAATTACTTTGTTTTCAACCAAAGCGGAACAAATATCATGAGTATTTCATGCCCTTAACATCAACAAGTAAGCAATCCCAGGTCAGGTAATATGAAATGAGAAAATATGTACATCACACAGACAAATAGCTTCAGAAATCTCAGTGAAAGATTGGATCGTCCATTGTGGCTGTGTGAGGAATAAGAACATGGGGCAGATCCCTGTGTAAATGAATGTGAGGAACTGGAACTTTGCAGTGGATTCTGGAACAAACAAGAACGCTGCAATGAATCAGTGTGAGAAACAAAGGCGTTGGAAATAATCCTTTATTGTGGTAAATCTCCACTATGAATGAGAAGATCAGCTTGGCTCAGTGGCAGCCCTCTTGCCTCTGAGTCCAAAGCACTACATCGGGAGTTGGAACCATATAGTCTAAGCTGACACTCCCATGCAGCGTTGGGAGTGTGTTGCAATATCCGCCGTTCCATCTTTCGGATGAGACGTTAAACTGAGATCCCGTCTGTTCGAATTGAAAAGAGAAGGGAGTTTCTCTCTCCCGGTGTCCTGGCCAACAATCCCCAGAATAAAGTTAGTCACTCACTCCATGGCTGTTTGTGGGACATTGCTGTGTGCAAATTGATTGCTGCGTTTCACCCATAAAATACAGTCAATCCTCTTTACAGTATAT